GAGCTTGGCAATGCAAATCTGCCACACACACACACAATCAGATGCAAGATCAAGAGCTTCCTGCTCTTTCTGGCTACATTTATGCTGCACCATAGTTCAAAATAAGATACGCAATTTGAGCTATACAAATTGTGTATCTTATTTTGAAACAGCATATTTCGTAATTTGGTGCTGTTTACATAGCACCAAATTTTGAAATAACCTGCTATTCCAAAATATTCCTTACTCCTTCTGGAATGAGGTTTATAGGGATGTTAGAATAGCAAGCCCAAAATAAGGGGCTTGCTGTGAGGACGCGGGATAGTTATTTCAGGATACTCTGGTATCCTGAAATAGCATTGTAGTGTAGATGTAGCCTATGAGTTCAGTTCTACTAGGTGTTGAATGTCCTAGACCTGTTGCATATAAGTGCTTGTTTAACTGTGAGCACTAGTATTCTTGTCACAGTCAATACAATTACACATATGTGAAGTGTTAAGTATGTTTATAAGTATTTTTCTTGGGTCAGAGCTAGAATGTTCAACATGTTGAAGGACTGAGAATTATAATACACAATCATTTAAAGCAAAAATGATTAATTGAAACACATGCAAATTACATTTCAATGTTTGTTTTGAATAAACTTTTTAAAAGTCATTTTGCAGAGATATACATGAAAGACCCAATCCTGTGGCCATTGAAGTTGATGGGAGTTTTTCCAATTATTTCAATGCAAGCAGAATCCAGGGCCTGATAAGTGAAATAGCAGGGGCATTTTGCTAACATAATATCCACAAAATGAGATTCAAAATCAGATCTGGGAGAAAATGTTGACTTTTTTATATTATTTGCAAACAGAGGTACTCACGTATACCAAGGACACACACATTAATTAGATTATTGCTCAGCAAGTCTCAAACTTAAGCAACCAGAGACCCCCATTTTGATTTAATTTTTTTGCAGGCCCCCACGCTGGCTTCTAATTTTCCCTGGGGGTGCTCAACTCCGTTGTAACCTCAGGGCTCACCCCTACTCCAGCACCCAAGCCCTCAAACCCTCCGACCTCTTCCTGCAGCCACTTGTCTTCCCCGCATTACGTCTGTACCCTTCCCTATGCGCTCTGTCCCTACTCCCCCCATACCCTCCCAGGATCTCCTACACACTGCTGAGAAGCTGTTCTGAGGCACTGGAAGGGAAGGGAAGAAGCTGATCAGTAGAAATGATTGCCCTGGACATGACTCATGGACCCCTATGGATCCATGTTTGTGTTATACATAAATGTAAAATACCTGTCACATAAATGAAAGAGAGAGGGTTTGCACAAGTGTTGTAATTTACTGCAGTAGAACACAGTTTTAAACTAGAAGACTTACCCAGTGTTTTCCAGGTCTTCAGGGCAGGGCCTTGGGGCTGTGGAGAGGGGTGCAGGAGGCTGGGGGCCAGGGGCATGTTCTCTCCCACATCAAGCTCCCTCCCACACACCCACCAGTGGCTTGTTCTATCTCCCCAGGCCTCTCCCAGATTCTCCTACAGCCTGCCAGGGGCTGTTCTCTCCTCCCCAGTTGCCAGGAGCCTTTTTTCTTTCCCCACTCCTGCACTGCAACCAAGGGCCGGGAATGAGAGGGAAATAGTTTGGGGCAGGGGGGCTACTTAGCAGTCTGCTGGCGGGCAAGATGGTGGAGCCCCAGCCCTGATGGCCACTCCCTTGGTGGTATGGCTGCTTCCAGTGGCCACTCAACAGGATAGCTCTCCACTGCACACGCTGTCCCCAGCGTCCACTCTCATATAGAATCCCTCTGAGCAGCAACCCCTTCCTTTGCATGCTAAGGAAAACTGTCCTTTTCCAAGGGCTTTTGGTTGTCCTGGCACAACCAAACCCTGACCTTGCTTTAAGTAAAGTGAAGAGGAAGCTGCATAGCAAATTTGGTGTCCCTAGCTCTTATAATTTAGGAGGCATTCTTGAACAAATGAACTCACAGCTAGACACACTCTAATATATCTATATCTATGCAAACACAGTGGACTTGAATTTCACATCATCAATTCAAAAATACCATTCTTATATAAGAAATATATGAATGTGGCAATTTGTCATAACATTTTATAAATACTATCTGACATGTATAAGTTGAACAAGATGATTCAAAAGGTTAGTGTGA